TTCCTTTTGACTTTTTAGAACATGTGGTCTTATTTCTTCCTAATTTTGAAAAGATCATTTTGAGATACTTGTCCATGTTTGTTGTTATAACAGGGTACTTGAGACTAGATAATTTATAATGAGAAGAAATTTCTTTCATTTTCTTGCTTTCCCCCCTCTTCTTGGAGACAGAACCTCATGTATCCTAAGCTAGCCTTGAACTTGTTATGTAGCCAGGGATGCCCTTGAAATTAAAATCCTCTTGCTGACATCCTTTAAGTGCCACCATGTTTGGTTTAATGTGATACTAAGCTTTCTACCAGTGGATCCACATACTCTTCCCCAGCCCAATATTTCTATTGTTTCTGAGAGCTGGAACTCCACATTGAGAGGCTTTTTTTCCTGATATACAATGTGGAAGAATAAAAGGGGTCAGAATCTTAGGAAGAAGAAATACCTGTATGTCTTTTCTCATGCGCGGATTCTGTCCTGGTGTGTGTGTGTGTGTGTGTTGTGTGTGTGTATGTATGTATTTAGGGATGCTGCATCAAATGTGTATAGAGGCAGAAGACAACTTACAGGAATGCTCTCCTTTCACTTTGTGATCCTGGGAATCCGCTCAGGGTGTCAGGCTTGGCAACAAGCACCTTTCCCCTCTGAGCCATCTCTCTGTACCCTACTCTGCTCTAAGACAGATTCTTGCTGTGGGGTAGGGTGGCCTTGAACATCTTAGCCTCCTGACTCAGCCTTCAACATGCTAAGATTACAGGAGTATGTAACTCACACCCAGCCTGATTAACTTTTACATGATGTCTCTAAAAGGTGATCTGATTAGTTGTACATTGAGTCTTTCTCCTTCCTCATTGAATGTTGAAGGCTCTAACTCTGCTTGCTTGAGAAGTAACATTGTATGATGCTCATTGTATTATCACATCCCAGTACAAGTGAATATTAGAAAAATGACCACACTGTATCCCTCTCTCTTTCTTTCACTTTTTCTTTTTTAACTTTGCCACAGATATATTTTCTAGATTAATTTGTTATAAAAATTTTTATGTCAACTCTGTGGACAGTTTTTACTGCCTAAGAGCTGTAATACATTGAAGAATAGGCTTTTTACTTGCAAGTTTCATAGATGCTGTGGTTGAATTCACCATTCCTAAGGATTTCTTTTACAGCAGGGAGATGGTGGTACATGTCTTTAATCTCAGCACTAAGGAAGGGAGGCAGAGGCAGGTAGATCTCTGTGAGTTTAAGGCCAGCCTGTTCTACAGAATTACAGGACAGCCAGGGCTGTCAAACAAATCAGACAGAAATCCTGTTTTGACAGAAGTCCTGTCAAACAAAACAGTTTCTTTTATAACAATACTCAACATTTATTAAATAGAATCATCTGGTCTAGTACTCTCAGAGTTTACCTACCTACTTTTGGTTCTTCGTTCTGTTTTTCCTTTATTATTAATTTCTTAAACTAAACTTGAACTTTACTTGGGATTTTACTAGTTGTGTGTGTGTGTGTGTTTTGTTCTTCCAGGATCCTGTTCGAGGCTACATTTAGTATTTAACTCTAGCCTCTTTGGGTGGTATCTTAGTTTGCCCCACCCCCTATCCTCCTGCAGATTTTCATCATCTTGGCAGTATTGACAGGTACACTATAGAGTGTCTTTCAGTTTAGGTTTTCTGATGTTTTACCCACACATAGGCTAGGACGATGGGTTTTGGAATGAATACAAGAGTGCTTAAATGTCTCTGGTTGCATGTATTACATGATGCTACTGCTGATATAAACTGTCTTTACTTGGGTGAGAAGATTTTTCAATTGTAAAGTTAATATATTTCCTTCTGTCCTTTCTAAGTAGTAGCTAAATCTAGGCTATCCGAAAAGAGAAAGGGGGAGGAATGAAGCTGTGCTTTCTTTAAGAACATACTACATAGGTTATTTTGAGTCTGTCCATAAGAAAGATTTACCTTTCTTTTCCTTTAGTTTTTTTTAATCACTTATTGGCATCAGTATAGACCCATGCGGGTTTCTAGTTTGGCTTTTTAATCAAGCACTGTACTATTTATTGTGTCCTGGCTAATATGAGTCCTTTCAGGTTGATTTCTATACCCTTTTTGATGCTATCATGTCATCCCTAGTACTATAAGATGTTTTAGGCTTACCTTAAACATTTTTTTTTCTAGTCCTAAGCTCTAGAATTATTTTCCCAAGAAATCTGTTTCTCTTTATTACAAAATTATATTTAAAACAAGATTCATAGGTCTAGTACCCACTTATAAGTGAGTATATACTGTGTGTGTCTTTCTGCTCCTGGGATACCTCACTCAGGATGATCTGCTCTAGATCCTACCATTTGCCTGCAAATTTCATGATTAGACCTATAAGATAGGATAAACATACTAAAATCTGTACACCTAAAGAAGATAAACAAGAAAGAGGACCCGGGGTAAGATGATCAATCTTCACTTAGACAAATGGGATGGACATTGGAAGTAGGAGAAAACAAGTAACAGGACAGGAACCTACCACAGAGGGCCTCTGAAAGACTCTACCTAGCAGTGTATCAAAGCAGATGCTGAGACTCATAACCAAACCTTCGGCAGAGTGCAGGGAATCATATGAAAGAAGGGGGAATTAGTATGACCTGGAAAGGATAGGGACTCCTCAAGGACCAAATATGTCAGGGCACAGGGGTCTTTTATGAGACTGTTTCTCCAACCAAGGGCCATGTATGGATATAACCTAGAACCCCTGCTCAGATGTAGCTCATGGTAGCTCAGCATCCAAAAGGGTTTCCCTAGTAAGGGGAACAGGTACTATTTTTGACATGAACTCAATGACTGGCTCCTTTACCCCCCACCCTCCAAGGGAGGAGCAGCCTTGCTAGGCCACAGAAGAGGACATTGTAGCCAGTCCTGAAGAGACCTGATAAGCTAGGATCAGATGGAAGGGGAGGAGGACCTCCCCTATCAGTGGACTTGGAAAGGGGCAGGGAGGAGATGAGGGAGGGGGCTACAGCTGGGATACAAAGTAAATAACCTGTGATTAATATAAAAAAATAAAAATTATAAAAAAATAAAAATAAAATTATTTTGAGAAAACAAAAAACAAGATTCACGTTGGATATAGGACTTCCATGTTGCTATGAGGGTATTGCTGCTTCTTGTCCTTTCAGAACTCAATGTCTGATGGATCTGTCCTTTCTCCTTCACAGAATAATTGAGGCAAACAAAAAGTCATTCCTGGGTCTGGAGAGATAGCTTCCCAAGAGCCCAGGCTTAATTCCCAGCACCTACGTGGTAGTTTATAACTGTCTCTAACTCTAGTTCCAGAGGACCTGACATCCTCACACAGATATACATGCGGATAAAACAAAATGCACATAAAGTAAAATTTAAAAAAAGTAATTCTTAGTATCTGTTATAAAGCTTGACTAATTATCAGTCAATGGTTAGTTTGAGTTTCATTTGTATGACTCCTGGTGCCTTTCTATTGGCTAATCTTACTTTTTGAAGTAAATTTCAGTAACTGTTAATTCACTTGAAAATGTTTTGGTGTTTATCACTACATAGTAAAGACTTTAAAAAGTAAGTTCTGAAATTGAGGTATGATTGGCATGATGCCCAGATCAAGATGTATGTAGTCTTGGCTGTCTTGGATTCTCTTTGTAAACTCGGCTGGCTTTGAACTCACAGCAATCTGCCTGCCTCTGTTCCCTGAGTGCTGCAATTAAAGATGTGTGCTGCTGTGCCCAATCCCACTGATTTCTTTTTACAAGTTATTTGTGATATGATGTGATGTGTGTGTGTGTTGTGTTTGCCCATGTGTGGGTTTGCAGATATATATCCTCATACACAGGGAGGCCAACGGAGGTTTTGGGTGTCCTACTCTATTTCAGTCTGCACTTTATTGGGCTAGGACAGGGTTACTCAGCAGCAAGCCCCAGTGATCCTGCTGTGTCTGCCTGTTAATAGTTCTAGGGTTAAAGGGATGCATGTGACTATCCCCGGGTTTTAACCTGAGTTCTGATGGTTTGACCTCAAATCTGCATGCTTGCTCAGCAAGAACTGTTACTTGCTGAGCCATCTCCATCTATCTCTTTTTGAGATGGTATCTTGTTAAGTAGACCAGCCTGCCTTAAACTTAGAATGATCCTCCAGCCTCAACCTTCCAAATTCTGGGATTACAGTCAAACACCATTGTGTTCAGTGCCACTGATAGTTTTTGCAAGAGCCTTCAAGAAACAAATATCTCATTATAGCATGGTCCCCCCCACCCCCCCTAATGTGGAGGATCGAACCTATAGTGTCATAAATACCTAGTACCTAAAAATACCTGATTTGCTGTCAGGTTTTTGGCATTTGTGTGAGTTCCCTTCTCTGTCACCACCTCCTCTGTACATTGGTCAAAGATATGTGGTGGCTTGTTTAATAATAACTATCAACATTTTGCCAGACATACCCTTGGTCTTGTCTAACGTGGTTCTCACTATAGTTTTCCTGAGACACTATACTCTCTGATTTTCTAATTCAGCCCTAACACAGTAGTTCTCATTCATTCTGTCCTTGGAGAAACTTCATCAGTTAGATAGTCCCTGACATCTAGTTAAAGTTCTTCTGTTGTGTTCTGCCAGGTTTGGAGATTCCTTAAACACACACACACACACACACACACACACACACACACACCCACCAAACAAACAAAAAAAAACATGTATCCTTTTTTAGTAACAAAGTCCTTCAAAAAGGCCAAGTAACTTTGACTGTAGGAAGGAATTTCATTTTCTCTTGGTTAGTCTTTCTACAAATTGAATGTCTAAAAACAGTTGCAGCTGTTTAGATATTAGACCTTTTTTAATAGTACTTTCTGTTTGTGTCAGAATCATTTGTCTATGGGGCTAGTGTGTTTGAAGTTCTTGACTGAAGTGTCTACAATACAGAAAAAAAAAAGAATTAAACTATAAAATAGGCTTGGTTGTGTTTGATTTGCCAAGTTCTTTTGTTTTCTTTTTATATTTTAGATCAGCTCGAAAGGGTCTTTTTACGACTTGGCCATGCTGAAACAGACGAACAGTTACAAAATATCATATCTAAATTCCTTCCTCCTGTTTTGCTTAAACTGTCGAGCACCCAAGAAGGAGTACGGAAAAAGGTAAGCATGTTGGGTTTCATTTGGAGAAATAAATAATGAATAAGTGGACATGTATCATGAAGTGAGTTTTTATTCCCATTATTGAAATGTAAGTTCATGATCCTAATTATAGCTTTTCCAAGTGTATGTTAAGTCTAAGAATCAGCTTTCCTAATGAAATGCTTAATACAGCTGCCTTCACTATCTGTTGTGTGCTTGTTACCAGTGCCAGGTGATTTAATCAAGATAATTATCTGGACTTCTCTAAAACCCCGTATGAAAGTCAGTTTAGGAAGGGGAAATATTCTTTAATCATTAGTTGATGGCTAATATTTCCTTATATAAAAATAGTAAAGGTAAGCAAATAAAATTTTGAAAGCAAACTTTTTATATACACTTTACATCCTACAAAATACTGTTTTCAAAAGCTATGTGATTATAATATCACTATTTTATTTTATTTTTTTTAATTTTTATTTTTCTTTTTAGTTACAATTTGTTAACTCCGTGTCCCAGCTGTATCCCGCTCCCTCATTCCCTCCCCCTTCCCAACTCCCTCCCTGGTCTCCTCCCTGCCCCTTTCCAAGTCCACTGATAGGGGAGGACCTCCTCCCCTTTCATTTGACCCTGTTTTATCAGGTATCTTCAAGGCTGGCTGCAAAGTCCTCCTCTGTGGCCTAACAGGACTGCTCCTCCCCTGGGGGAGGGGGGGAGGTCAAAGAGCCTTTCCTTGAGATCCTGTTAGAAATAGTCCTTGTTCCCCTTACTTTGGAAAACTACTTGGTTACTGAGCTACCACGGGCCACATCCGAGCAGAAGTTCTAGGTTATATCCATAGATGGTCCTTGGTTGAGTGTCAGTCTCAGAAAAGACCCTGTGCCCGGATATATTTGGTACTTGTAGAGCTCCTATCCTTTCCATATCATACTAACTCCACTTCTTTCATATGATTCCCTGCACTCTGCCAAGGTTTGGTTATGAGTCTTAGTGTCTGCTTTGAAACACTACTAGGTAGAGTCTTTATTTTTAAATTGTTCTATATGAAACACTTTCCCATTAATTTGTATTATTGTTAATTATTTTCCCCCCAGTATATTTGTGATAGACCTGGTCTTTTAGCTGTCATCAGGTTTTCTTTCTTGAGATACTGTAATTGACTGCCATTTACTTAAATCTACTGTAAGAGGACCGATTGGAGTTCAGTGGGAAGAATGTCTCCCAGAATGTCTGTTTTGTTTGTTACAGGAAACGATGAACAGTCTTGCTATATATTTGCTATCCTTATTTGCTGTTAATCCTTATTTGCTGAGATAGAGTGTGTTTGGTCATGTCATTTTCCTATTTAAAACCCTTCAGTGGACTTTTCTTGCTCTCAGGGTATCAAAGGCCTTTTACAAATTGACATCTGTCTACTTAGTGTTATTAGTCTGGCTATTTACTGAAGGTCTTCTGTATGCCTTATAGTACATGCTTGTATTTATTATCTTTCTCTGTTGCTGAGACAGGATACCTGACAAATGGTACTACATAAGGAAGGAATTTATTTTGGCTCAAAGTTAAGAAAGGATGATTAGAAGGGATGATAGTAAGAACATGAAGGCAATTGCTCATATTATATTCACCCAGTAAGCAGAGAATGGATGGGAAGTGAGCCTGGCTACAAACCAGAAGACCTGTTCCCCAGTGACCAACTTCCTCCAGTTAGACATGCTCTTCTTAAAAGGTTTTACTCTTTGAAACAGCATCATCAGCTGGGTACCAAGTAATGGACTCATGGGGGGACATTATATATTTGTTAAGAGGCAAAAAGAAAGGAGTAGATGAAAGAACATGGGACTGTGGTTATGACTGAGTATGGATTGATGGGGGAGGGTTCTTGGTAAGCAAGAAGAGAGATCAGCTAGGTTAGGAGATGGTAAATTCTGAGCTGGGACTGAATGTGAATGGCAACTACACAGGCCAGAGATATTTCCTCAGTGGGTGAGAAGATGAGGGATGGGAGGAAACATGATTGTAGGGCACAGATTTGAAAGGGTGGTAGTGATATATTTATTTGGCTGCTGAGGATCTTTATAGTGGAAACTATAAGTGGAGTTCAGGAAGTATCCAGAGAACTTTTGTATTAGTTTAGGCTGAGTGTTTTTATTAGATTAAAACACACGTGCACGCACGCACGCACACACACACAGCTTGTTTACTTAAGATATTTTTATTTCTTTGTATTTAATCTTTTTTTGCAGAAAATCATCCACCTCTAATAATCTACTAATTTTAGGTTATATGTCATTTGCTTTGTTATACTGTTTATTCTGTTATCCTTCCCAATGGAAACATTTCGTTCTTTTTCAAGTTTTTTTTTGTATGTTTGTATGTGTATGGACATATTTGTATGTGCATGTGACTGTACACGTAATGGCGAGAGATTGATGTTGGGTGTCTTTCCCAGTTGCATACCACCTTTTAAATGTTTAAAGATTTTTAAATTTTTATTTTGTTTTGCCTGTATGAATGAATGAATATGTGCCATGTGGATGCCTGGTGCCCACTGAGGCCAGAAAAGGGCAACTGGATCCCCTGCAATTAGAGTTCCAGAGAGTTGAGTCACCACTTGTGTGCTGGGAATTGAATCTGGGTCCTTTAAGACAGCAGCCAGTGCTCTTAACCCCTGCACCATCTTTCCAGCCCTTCCTTTGATTTATTACACCTGGCCTCACTGATTCAGCCAGTGAGCCCCAGGGACCCTCCTGGCTTCTTTTCTCCACTGCAGGTCTATGTGACATCATGCCCAGCTGTTTTTCTTTTTTAAAATAATGGATTCTGGGAGGTTGACCTCAGGCCTACATAGCAAGCACTTTACTGACTGAGCCGTCTTCTCAGCACATTCCCTAGTTTTCTACATGCTGGGCGATTAATATACCGCTCAGTCATACACCAACCTCGGGTTAATTGGAGCTGTTTTAAAGGCAAACCAATGAGTAGGTTTCTCTTCTTGTTAGCTGCACTTTTCTATTTTTTCAATTATTTTTTTCCATACAAGATTTTTATTTATATGATAGTGTGATAATGATTGTGTTAAGTGCAAAAAAGTTATAGGTTTATAAGATAATGTGATAATATGTGTTCTTTCGTACATATTACAGATGAAACTAAGTTTCGAATGGTTAATGAACTTTATTTATATGTTTACTTATTTATTTTTTGAGATAGAATTTCACTATGTAGCCCTGGCTGGAACTCTTTGTAGACCAAGATGGCCTTGAACTCACAGATCTGTCTGCCTCAGCTTTTCTATTTGCTGGGATTAAATGCATGCACTACCTCTGCCCAGCTGAATTAATGAATTTTTAAAAGACCAAATAATGAATGGTGAGCCAGGATTTAAAATTTAAAATGCAAGCTTGATCACCAAATAAAATATTTTTAAAATTAATTACATGTTTTCAAGAATGCTGAGAATGAACAAAAATCTATTTATGAACTTGTCTTTGTTATTTTGGTTATACCTTGTAGTTACAATGAAATGCAATATTTGCTTTTATTTTTTACTTAATTATTAATAATTGTTTCTAGTTTTGAAGTATTTGATGAAATTTTTTCCTTGCTTTATTACATTCTGGGCTGAGACTACACAGATTGTTTAAATTTTTTTGGTGGTACTTTGGAGGGCTGCCACCTAGGCTTTTGTGCATGAGGAGCACATGTTCACCATTGAATTACATCTCCAGTCCTAAAGTAGAAGATTAAAGTAGAAGATTAAAAAAATATCCTTGCTTATAGAATGTGGAGCTCAGTATGCGCTGAGGCTGCTTGCTGTTATGTCTTGACAAACTGTCTTCTAGTCTTTGACAGTCATGGACTTTGATGGTTGTAGTTTTCCTGTCTAATATATTTGGCTTCATGCATTTTGATGTGCAGGCTTAACAGTTTATTAGTGATTATAGTATGTTATATGTAATATATATACATATGTAAACATAGGTCAGCAAAGGGATTTGCTGTTAAGCAAACTTGGAGTCTTCTTGGAGAAGGAAATGATACTTAATGCTGGTACACTTTAACATTGTGCTGCTCTTTGGCATATCTTGTTTGCTTTTGAAATACTATCACTTGATTTCTACAAATGGGAAAATGACCCTGAAATTAATAGTAGTAGCCAAAATTACTCGACAGTGTCTCAATTTAACAATTCTGTGAGGTATAGATACTCCTGTTTTATAGATTAAAAAACTGGGACTCAGAGAAGGTAAGGAAATTTGCCTTATGTCACAAGACTAACAATGTGCTTTTAAAATAGGGACTTAATAGACAAGTAATTTCAAAATTAAGCTGGTTTCTGCCAGGTACTGCTTCTGTGTAATAGCTATACATTAATTTTTTTTTCTACTTATGAAAAGAAATTTAGTTCATCCAATGTCAGTCAAAGTAAATAGGGGTTAAAAGATGACTCCGAAGGCAGTTATGGAACTTTTCTTGTGTAGTAGTTTGATTTTTAGACAGTAGACTCTTGATACGTGTCCCTACTTTGCTAGTATGTAGTGGTATACTGTTATGCTTTGTAAATTACAGAACCAGTGTAATAGTTGTTATTTGAATAGTATTGTTGATAATAAGGAATAGATATTGAGCACAAATTTAGAATGCAATTTTTCCTTTTTAATAATTATATAAAATAAGACTCATGAAAGATTTGTTTATTTTGTTTTTTTGGGACAGGTGTCCCTGTGTAGCCCTGGCTGTCCTGGAACCAGACTCTGTTCAGACTGGCCTTGAACTCAGAGATCTTCCTGCCTCTGCTGTCTCCTGAATGCTGGGATTAAAGGTGTGAGCCACCACACAGCAAAAGATTTATTTTTAAGCAGAACTTATTTATACCTAATCTCAACCATCCATTTTTGAATTCTTTTATGTTGGCGACAGAACCCAAGACCTTGTACATATTAAGTAGCTACTCTTTTGATATAACCAGAATTTATCATACTGATTTTGTTTAATTTTTGAGTCCTTACTGTCAATTTCATAATGTATGCCAAGCTTAAGTACAATATTATATAAGACATTTGTCAGTTTATGAATAAATTGTGTGAAAGACAGCTACAACATTAGGGTTTTTTTGTTTTGTACTAATTAGTGTGCTTTTGTTTTTTTGAGACAGGGTTTCTCTGTGTAGCCCAGGCTGTCCTGGAACTTGCTCTGTAGTTCAGGGTGGCCTCCTTCACAGAGCTACACTTGTCTTCGAGTGCTGGGATTAGAAGTATGCACCAACATCATCCGGCTGGTGCACATTTTTTTAATTTAAGGAAAATGAGGGTTGTTATGTAGAATTCTGTTCTGGATCATTAGAATAGCAGAAAGCTAATGCCTGATCATATCTGATGTTAACAAGTCTGAGAAACACCTGTAGCTCTCAAATACTACTGGTAGAGCATAAATTATCATCATTTTGGAAACTGCTTGGAAGTATATGCTCAAACTGGGCATGTGTGTGTAACCTTGTAACTGAGCACTTCTAGTCTTGGATTTATATCCAGCAACGATAAGCACGTGCGCGCGCACACACATAATGTGTGTGTGTGTGTATATATATATACACGCATATATGTACATATATATACATACATATGTGTATATACATATGTATGTATATATATGTACATATATATGTGTGTATACACACACACACACACACACACACACACACACACATATATATACATACACACCCCAAAGGGCATGTCTAAAACTATTCATGTCAGTACTATACTTACCCAGAACTGCTTTCACTAATGTGTGCTTTGAGGCTTCAGTGCATATTTCAGAAATGATTTATCGTAGATGCAGCCCTCCAGAATAGTTAAAAATGTTCAGTCTTTCTTAGGTGAAATTAAAAACCATCTCATTTCTCAGTGTTCAATTTCTTCTTTCTTAGAACATAATATGGTGGAGTAAGACTTGAGGACATGTATCAGAAACTTGTATATTTTCCTTTTTTTCCACGGGAATTATTGATTTCTTTCCTTTTTTTTTTTTTTTTTTTTTTTTTACTTAAATTCTTTAGTAGTATCAGATGATTTTTTTCAGGATAAGGTAAACATACTTCAGTGTTTTGCTAAATTCTATTATAGTTTAGATCCTGCTTTTTTGAATCCTTACCACTCTGGGCTTCAGCTAAATATAATTTGCCATATTCTTTTAGACACCCTGTTCCTTTTTAAAAGGTCTAAAAGATTTCTGCTTGAAATCTAATCCCTAGAATTCGGTTGTTCCCACATTTTCTCAGAAGTACTTCTTGAGTTGACAGACCAAGTGTATCTAGAAACAGTAGAATCTTACATTTTACATTCTAATAATATACTTGGTATCTTGGAACATGCAGATACTGTGTTTCTGACTTTGATACATTCCTTTCTGAGATATCAACTTTATGTTCCATAAAAGAATAAGTAACTATTTTTCTCTAAAATAAGTGATATCTAAGAACTGAATTTATTTTAAGGTATGATTGGTAACTTCAGTTCTTCTGTCTTTGCTTTAGGTGATGGAACTGCTGGTCCATCTGAATAAACGTATAAAAAGCCGCCCCAAAATACAACTCCCAGTAGAGACACTATTGGTTCAGTACCAGGACCCTGCTGCAGTTTCCTTTGTCACGGTGAGAGTTATTTTGAATTTTTTATTATTATTATTATTATTATTATTATTATTATTATTATTATTATTATTTTGGCTTATAATAAGCCTTTTTAATGTTTAGTTGATGGCATCAATGCATATTGGCAAGCTTAGAATTTCATTCTTAGCCCACACCTACCTGAAACAGTTTTTGTTTAAATGGTGTGCTGTTTTCTCAACGGAGTGCTGAGTCATAGGTAATACTGCTTCGATCTGGTAATGAATAGCCAAAGAAATGGGCAAAGAAATGGTGAAAAGACTGTCAGGTATTTACTATAAAAAAAGGATAATTTAGCTCAGAGTCTGAACAAAGTAATCTCATAGAAATTGAGAGTAGAATAGCAGTTATCACAAGTTGGGAGAAGGTTATTTCCTGGGCACCGAGTTAGAGAACAGGAGCCTCTGGTGTGCTGCTGCCCAGTGAGGGTGACTGGAGACAAGGCTGTGACACTTCACAGAAGCCGCTGTGTGGAGGTACTGTACCCAGTGTGGGTGGAACCTGTGGTCCCAGAGACTTGTTAGGCTGAGGAGTATTGCTTGAGCTTAGAAATTCAGGGCCAGCCTGAGCAGCATAATGGGATGCTCTTCTTGATTACAAATGCAGGAGCAGTAAAATAACTTGCAGAAAGCTAAAAAAAAAAAGCCTTTTCTGGGTTTTTTTCTTAATGAAATGATAGATATTTAAGGATAATGTGTAACCTAATGGAAACAGTATATAATGTAAACATAAATGTCCTATGGTACTCTATAATATGTATTTTTGTGGTGCTGAAGATTAAGCCTTTTTCATGTAAGGCAAGCATTCTACTGAGCTATATCCCAACCAAATACTTATAATTTTTGTTTTTATGTAAATAATAGTGATTTGATTCTTTGATTTATGTATGAGACATCTGAAGAGTGTAGGGTTATAGCAGTACACAGGCGTAATAAAACAGTACTGTTTCTGATGTGTGTATTCAAGATACTTTTGTAGTGGAGTAAATCTGAGACTGGCAAGTATTCTACTTCATTCCATTTTATGAAAACAGAATGAAAAAAATACTGGTATTATGTGAAGACAGTGTTTTTTTCTGGTTCTTGTAATTTTTAATAATGGGTCAAAATTTCCCAAATTGTTTTATCAGGAGTCAGAAACTTTGGGCGGTGCTGTGGCTATTTTTGACATACGTTTTTATTACAGACAGCATCTTTCTTTTAAGCAAATACAAATATTGAGACCCAGTAACCAGGCCTTATGAAGCCTGGTCATTTTTGTAGAGAGTCCTTCAGATAAGCAACTTTCTCATATGTAAATCCGGATTTATATTCATGGGTTTGCTTCAGGTGTAAATTTTCCTTGGCTTATGGAACCACTGATCACATCCGCAGCAGTCATCTTCCCTGGCTCATGTCATCCATAGAGTTGTTCCCTGGAGAGAGGACCACAGAGTGCTGCAGTTTCCAAAGATGGTTTTAGTAACTGACCAGCTGGGAAATGGGAGCCTGGGATTTGTTAACATGTGATCTAGGATTAATATAGCAGACTGGGAGAGCTGGTTATAATGTTCGCGATGTGGATTTAGATAGGCTAAATGATTATTATTTTTTTCTTCCTAGTAATAGTAATTGCACATATGACTGCTTTAGGTTAAGTCACCATCCTTTCATTAAAAATCCTGTGTTAAAAGAAACAGCCTGAAGAAATTGTACTTAGGTTCTTCTCCTGAGATACGGTAATTTGGTTAAGCTGTGATAAACCTGTGGAGAGGATGATTCTTGTGATGTTTTTGTTAGAACTATAACTTACTGTAGGAATATTTTTCCTTTCATACTCACTTGCTTTCTCTTACTGCATTAGAATTTTACTATAATTTATGTTAAGATGGGCTATCCTCGCCTGCCAGTTGAAAAACAGTGTGAACTGGCCCCTACGCTTCTGACTGCCATGGAAGGGAAGCCTCAGCCACAGCAGGATAGGTATGGTTTCCTTATTTACCTGTTGTCCATTTGCGAGAGTCAGTAACTTTTGCCTTTCAAATAAAGGTCACATTTGGTTTTACATGGCAAATGGAAAAGCTTGGAGTCATTTAGCTAAAAGATGTTTGAATTTTCTGTGATATTTTAGCTACTGTTTTATTAATAGCATTATGAAGTTTTTGATAGGAACATTTAAAAATGTGTAAGACTGACATTTTTCTAGATTTAACCACTTCAATTTTTGTCATCTTTTTCTAAGTGCTTAATTTATGTGATGTTAAAGTCTTTATTATTAGTCTGGAAAGATGTATCAATGGTTAAGGGAGCACTAGCTGCTCTTCAGAGTACCCGAGTTCAATTCCTGTCACCCACATAGTGGCTCACAATCATTTGTTAACTCCAGTTCCAGAGGATCCAACATCCTCTTCTGACCTCTGGGCACTAGGCTATCCTTGTGGTATACAGACATACATGTAGGTAGAATACCCATGTATGCATTAAATAACTAAAAGAACATTTTCATCAAAACATTTGTCTTGATGGATAAAACATTTTCCAGCAATTTTTGGAAGCAATAGAGTATTATTAATATAGGCACTGGAAGAATAGAAGGACTTAGATGACAGCATTTGTTTGTGGACTTAGTGAATTAAAAAACAAAACAAAACTGTATTTTAGACCTGTCAATTAGAAAGATGTTTCCAGTTCTGATTTGCTTTCTAATCAACAAATGGTGTTGGGGATCAAACCCAGGGCCTCATAAGCCCTGAACAAAAGAAACTATAGGTGTTTACAATTAAAATTAGCAATTGAAGTAAATTTTTATTGAAAGAACATGTTGAACTTTACTTTTATCGAAAATTGAATATGAAGTACCTTTTGGTAACATTAAGTCTCGCTTATATATTCTTTTTCTAGATTTTTAAAGTGATGAACTATGTTGGCTATATACCAATTACCATTTAATACTTGGAGTTTTTTGTTTGTTTTTGAGAAAGGGCTTCTCTGTGTAGCCCTGGCTGGCCTCGAAATAGATTAGGCTGGCCTTGAACTCGCAGAGATCTACCTACCTCTGCTTCCTGAGTGGTGGGGTTGGGAAGTCAAGGCTACTCACTAAAATAGGACTTTGTACATCATTAAATATTAAAAATGAATAGCTCCTGATAAAATTGCTTACTTTTAGTAAGTAGTCTTTTTTCTATTACTTGCATGTATAAACATTGATTTATAAAGTATCTACAATAAATATGATTTATTTTTCTTTCAGCTTAATGCATCTTTTAATACCAACCCTTTTTCACATGAAATACCCTGCTGAATCATCAAAATCAGCTTCTCCTTTTAATCTTGCTGAGAAACCAAAGACTGTGCAGCTGCTTTTGGACTTTATGCTAGATGTTCTTCTGATGCCTTATGGGTGAGTTAAAATGACAAATGAAGAAAAACGTGTGGTTTTAAATGATTTATCTTACTTGAGAATGGATGCATCTCTGAGGATCCTAAAAAGTAAAGACCATTTCTGCTACATATTGGCTGTATGTATTTTAGACTTCACCTGTCCCAAGCTGAAATAAATGTCCAGTCTCCTAGCACCTTGTACCCTTAGGAAATTATATCCAACTTTTATTTTTTCCATAGTTTCCATTTTCCTTGATGTCCTGAAATCTCTTTGCACTACTACCATTTTAGTTTTAGATCTATTTAGTTTTAGCTCTTACTACAGTTTTGTTCTCATATCTTTGAAGTCCCATTATTCAGGCTAGCCCCTGAATAATGACACGGATACTCTTTTTTTAATTTTTTTATTTATTTTTTAAGTTTATTTACTTTACATTTCAAGGACTGCCCCCTCCCTCTTCTCCTCCCAGGTTCCCCCACTCTCTACTCCCTCTTTCCCTCTAGAAAAGAGGAGCCCCTCCCTTTGTAACAACCCTCCCCAGCACATGAAGTCACATCTGGACTGAGCATATTCTCATCCACTGAGGCCAGGCAAGGCGGCCCTGCCAGGGGAGAAGTGATCCAAAAGCAGGCACTAGAGTGCATGTTAGAAACAGCCTTCTCCTCCACTCTCCAGGCGACTCACATGAAGACCAAGCTACATATGTGCGGGGGTCCAGCCCATCCATGCTCCTCAGCTGCTGTATCAGAATCTTAAGCCCTTATGGACCTGGGTTAGTCGTCTCTGTTGATCTTCCTGTGGGGTTTCTGTCCCCTCGACACAGAGACTTTTTATTGGATTCTATAAGCTTGGTTGTAGCTTCAGCTTATTCCCAATTAGTTCTTAACTTAAATGGTCCTATCTGCATTCTGCCACGGGGCTTGTCACCTCATCTCAGTCCTGACACCCTGTTCTTTTTGGATCTTTTGTGCCTGATTCTTGCCCAGAGTTCCTAGCTCTGTCAGAAGTCCTGCCTCCCTTTCCTGCCTTTGCTGTTGGCTATTCAGCTCTTTATGAAACCAATCAGAAGGTGTTGGAGGGAGTGTTTGCAAAATATGATTCAGTAAAAGAATAGCAGTAGCAAAGTCTGGCCTGTCCTCAGCTGTCTGCTGGTACAGAAATCACCATTTGAATGTCCAATCTTTGCACAGTACACACAAAGATCACCCCAACTTATCTTTGTTTTCTGTTTTTTTACTAAATGTACAAAATAATGGATTTCACTATGATATATATTTTATATACATATTGCATTTTGCTTATCTCTCTCATGTCTTCAAATAATGCTATAGAGCTGCCTGATTTTTAGCACAGATTTTAATAACACCTCAGAACCGTGGGTTCTCAACAGCCAGTCATTCTATACATTCAGTGGCTCATACTCCTCCACATGCACTTGGCGTCTCATTCTTGAAGACATTGCAGTTAGTTCTCACTAGGCTGTTTCTCTGCAGGGGAAATAACAGAAAGTCACTTTGAAAATAATCTCACTGGCTCTGTTTCTGACAGACATTTCTAATCCTCTGTAGACATATTTGCTCTATTTTCTGTGCCTCAGAACTACCTTTGTAGTACTTTGTGTTTTTATCACACCATTGACATCTTCAACCTTTTTTTTTTTTTTTTTTTCTAGACAGGGTTTCTCTGTTGTAGCCTTGGCTGTCCTGGAGCTTACTCTGTAGACCAAGCTGGCCTCGAACTCAAGGATCTGTCTGCCTCTGCCTCCCAAGCGCTGGGATTAAGAGAATGCACTGTCACCACCTGGCCATCTTCATCTTCTTAATATCAGCCCCTTGTAGTCAAGATATGTTTTATCAGACTTTGGAATCTGGTGTAGTTTCCAGATTATGGTCTGCTACTAGCCTACTGATTTGGCGCTGTTGCCAGAGGTAGTTGCCTAAAGTGCTACTTTCTTCCTGTTTTCCCTCATCTCGAGTATACATGTCTATAGAGGACCAGGCATGTGGAGCTGCATATCATCTGTCCTTAGTACAGACAAGAAGGCTCAGGCTGTATGAGTCTTTCTCTTCAGTTTGCTCTCCTTCTCTAAGTTAGTAGCTTGATTTTCTAGGGCCTTTACTGCAGGCATGAAGCTGAGAGAGAGAGAGAAAACTGGATGTAGGATGAGGCTATAAATTCTCAAATCTCATCCTCAGTGACTCCCCCAGCAGAATTGTACCTTATGGTTATGGGGATATAATCTTCCCCCAAAATGCCAACAACTGCAAACCAAGTATTGAGCCTAAGGGAGACATTCTCATTCAAACCACCACAGCTTCCAAGTGGTTCTTTAATTATAATGAGAATTTTAGTATCTATTATGATCAGATTTATCATATAGAATTAAAGAGTTAAACGGATTTTTAATTAATATTTATATAAAATTTATTTTGATTATGAGGAATACTAGTTTTAATTGGATCAAGTTAATTCATTAGAGGTCTTATTTCTACTGTGTACAAGCTAAAAAGTGAATAAGATAACAATGACAAGGAGATTCAAAGGACAAGCTTTGAATATACAATGGGAAAATTCTTATTTTTTCTGACTTTCTATTTTTAACTCTTTACTGTTTGTATGTGCATGGAGTATGAGTGGATGTCAGAGAGCAGTTCTGTGGAATTGGTTCTCCTCCTCAACCTTTAATGGGCTTCAGGACTCACACTTCAGGTTGTCAGGCTTTTATGACAAATGCCTTTAACGATTGAGCCATCTTGCTAGGCCCTAACCTTTTCTCTTTGACCCCTTTTACTTTGTTTTTAACTTTTAGAATGTTATGTGCTAGTATGGGTGGCAGTTTGGCAGAGGCTTCAGTGAGTTATTTAATGTGAATGACAAAGAAGAATAACTGTAGAAGCTCTCTTAGGCGCATAGAACACAGTGTGTGGTTTCAGCAGGCACAGGTCTGTATTTGTCAGCTAAAAATCAAAAAGCAGTGAGTAGATACTAACTTAACAGACGATACTGTGTACTTGGAATTGATACAAATGTTTTGTACTCACTGTTGTTAAGTGTTGTAGTTCATTTACAGAGAGTTACAGGACAGCCAAGGCTACACAGAGAAACTGTCTCGGGAAGAACAACAACACAAAAACAAAAAACAAAACAACAATAACAAAAAAAAACAAAACAAGAAATGATTCTTTATGTGGAAATGTTTATTTTAGTTGTTGTTAGAGCTCAGTGGTTCTCAACCGTCCTAATGCTGCGACCCTTTAAAGTAGTTCCTCATGTTGTGGTGACCCTAAAAATAATACTACTTTTGCTGTTTGTTACTTTAGAATTGTAGTTTTGCTACTGTTAATACATTGTAATGTGAATACTGTGTTTTCTGATGGACTTAAGCAACCCATGTGACAGGGTCATTTGACCCACAGGTTGGGAAACCAGTGTTCTAGTGAAATACAAGGACTGATGTTTTTTTTTTTTTCACAAATTCACATGTTTTTATAGAGAGTTAAGGTTTTATTTCCTTTTCAGATATGTGTTAAATGAATCCCAGAGTCGCCAAAATTCATCTTCATCACAGGGTTCTTCTTCAAACAGTGTGGGAGGTTCCGGAATCCCACAGCCTCCCCCAGGAATGAGCTTTTATGCAGCAAAACGAGTTATTGGTGATAACCCATGGACACCTGAACAGTTGGAACAGGTATTATAGTTTGCTCATCATGTCAGTTGGCCTTGAACACTTACCCTGTGAAGTTCATGGAAGCATGTGCAGTATTATTCCTGTATATTCAAGTTCTCTAAGGAATATGTTTGAAAGGAGCAAGCTATGTAGTGTTCTTTTTTCCTGGCATTTATTTGTTAAAGCCCTAGGGAAAGGGAGGAGTGGGAAATGATCTTATGTTTTTCTAACATTGTTCACATTTGTCAAGTATTATGCGTAACCCCCTTTCATATTGAGCATATTTAGTTTTTATCATTTTAATGTATAATTATAGGTCTTAATTATTTGGCTCCTTTGGTGCACTTAAAATACAGTTTATCTCATTATTCAGTTTTTTAGGGCTGTACATTTTGTGTAAAGTGAGGAACCTCTATACTTCACAAGTGACAATGTGGGGAAAAGCATGACTCCCTTTTATATTTCTTCTTGGGGTTTTAAAAATTGGCATTAAGAATTTTATTCTGGATTTAAACAGGACACAGATGTTCTCTGAGCAGCTTTTAAAAATGACTGGTGCTCTACAGAGAAGGTGCCTCCCTGTGTCTGTCATCAGGCACCTCAGGGAAGAACAGAAATCAGTATGTAATTATTTTGGAATTCAAGCAACATGGGTTAGTCTTCCAATCCTTCCTTTATTTCTCCATAGCAGTCTCAATGATTTGATCCTTTTCTTTTTGGGAATGTAAGTGACCATTGATCAAAAGTGTTCTCAGGAGAGGGCAAAATAAGCAAGTATGAGGGTTACAATTGATTCGATTTGCTTCCTGGTTTTACTCTTCATTCTCCCTCTTTAAGCCATAGTGTGAGCACAGAAACCACTCTATTGAGTATGACCTGTGGCAGACACTGTTCTGGGGGCTTTGAGTACATTATCTCATTTAATCCTCACAGCAACTGATGAGGTAGCAAAATTAAGAGCTTTTTCTGAAAGGTGCTGAGGTTTTGAGATTCACCGAGGTCTTCCTTCTGTTAGTAGACTCTGAGTTCAGTCTTCTCTGAGGCTTAAAGCTGAATATACTGGAGACTAGTTACTGCTGTTGTTCACTTATAGTCTTAAGTTGGTCGTTGTTTGTTGAATTTAAAGGTCTCTGTACGTGTTTTGTTTGTTTTATAATCTGGTGCTGAAATGAATAATTTAAAATGAAAAGTTTAAAAAATGAAAACTTCTCACTTTTGAATACTTTTTCTTCCAAATAAACCAATTTCTGTTTCTTCTCTTCCTCCTCCTCCTTCTTCCTTCTTTATTCTTCCTTCTTCTTTCTTCTTCATTTTTCGAGACAAGGTTTCCCTGTGTAGCCCTGGCTGTCTTAGAACTTGCTCTGTAGACCAGGCTGGCCTAGAACTCACAGAGATACTCCTACCTCTGCCTCCTTTGAGTGCTGGCACAAAAAGTGTGCACCACTACTGCCTGGCTAAGTATTAATCTTTCTTTTTAGTTTAAAAACATTCCTTTTATTTTTATCCTGATTATAAAGGTAAAGGTTTAAGTAGTCAGGAACAGACTTGAGGGGTGCTGGGTAGGTAGCTTTGGTAAGAGTGTTTACCTAACATGCATGAAGCCATGGTTGAGTCTCTGCACTCCATGACCAAGACCTGCTGGTGCATGCCTGGAATCCAGCACTCAGGAGGTGAAGGCAAGGGGGATCAAGGTGTTCAAAGTCATCCTTGGCTATATACTTTTTTTGAGACTCTGTCCGCCCCCCCCCCAAAATAATCCCCAATATAAAAACAATAAACAAACAAAACCTCCCAAAAGAATGCTCAGTGATAGAGTGCCTAGTAGTAGGTGGGCTTGGGGCCCTGAGGTCAATCCATAGCACCTCACGGAAACAATGTAACAAACTGTCTGCAGTTCTGCCTCCTGTCTTGCTCATGCTCGCTCGCTCTCTGTCTTTCTGTCTCTCAATCTGTGTGTGTGTGTGAGAACAGTTTTAGATAATACATTTTACTTGTCACATTATAGTCTTTGAGGATTAAAAAAAAAATGTTTGTATAAAATTTAATTATATGAAAGCCTGGCGTGGTGGCACATGGCTTTAATCCCAGCACTCAGGAGGCAGAAGTAGGCGGATTGCTGTGAGTTCCAGGCCAGCCTGGTCTACAGAGTGAGTCTAGAACAGCCAAGGCTACACAGAGAAACCCTGTCTCGAAAGACAAAACAAAACAGATTATATGTAATGTTTTAATTGTCATATCGATGAGACTTTATCATTTTCAGTTTTTATACATTTTTCATTATGTGTTGTATATTTGACTTCCATAACCATCCCACATCCCATTGCAGTTTATGTTAATAATGCATTTTCAGATTGTATCTCTTTTTATAAGTTGGGTAGGGAGTAAGTTATGTTGAGCAGGAAGGAGAGATAGGCTTTTTTTGTGATCAGTTACACTTTTTATTGGCATTCTTATTTAATTTTCAAAAATTTTTATTTAATAATTATATATTTTATCACTCCTTATTCATATCTTATATAACTGGTGTTTAAAGTGAAGATAAAGTTTTGCTTTTCAGATGTATTTGTCCCAGAATGATTTGTAGTGAAATTCATAGCTTTTTCACATTTCAGGAAGCTCTTAAACTCTTTATTGTGCTTCATTGAGCTTGATTAGTTTAAACACTAACTGTTGGATTGAGTTTCGCTTGGATTGACTAGAATGGGTTTGAAATCATGTTCTCTGTTTTTAGTATTTTAAAATAGAGGACAAGAATGTACATGTTAACAATAGAATAAGGCTCTGGAATGTGCGTTGTTCAGATGCTTTTTTTCTCACAAACATCCACCAAGCACTTTGTCCTGAATGTATCACCTTTTATCTGGAGGACACAGATGGAGACGTTAAGTCCTTATTAGTCTAGGAAGGCTGTGTGACCTCAGCAGGGAGACTCTTAATCATCGTTTTGTTGGCAGAGACTTATCTTTGAAGACTGCCTTCATCATGTGTTATGTATTTTGATATCTTAAAATATCTTGCCTCAGTTTCTTCATCTAAAAATGTCTATAATGATACCTACCTCATAGATTGTGAGGGTTAAATGAACTCTTGAAAGGTTGTGATTTAGTGTGGTGTCTAGCACAGTATACCCAAGTAGGAGCTTCTGCTGTTACTTTCACCCGTGGCTTATGACCATGTCGATATGTTGAACAGTGACTTTAGTGCATGTTCTTTGTTTCCCTGACCATGCTTTTTCTCTACCTTCACTTATCTACAGTGCAAATTGGGCATAGTGAAATTTATAGAAGCTGAACAGGTGCCTGAACTTGAAGCTGTTCTCCACCTGGTGATTGCTTCTAGTGACACACGCCATAGTGTGGCAACAGCGGCAGACCTGGAATTGAAAAGCAAGCAGAGGTAAGTACTTAAGATTTCAAAACAGAAAGGCCTGCGTTCTTAAAGCTTTGTGGCGTGTTATGGGTGCATACTTAGGTTGTAACTAAATAAAGTTTACCAAAGAGTAAAATTTTGTATCAAAGAAAAAAAATTATTTGAAAATGCATTTCAAAGCTGAGGTAGGTTAGGAATACCATCATAAGAAATGAAACTTTTGGCTAGGCAAATAAACTGAAAGTTAATGTTAAAAGTGTTAGACCTAAGAATTAATTAAGATTTGATTCTTTTTCTGGCTTAAACCAGTTAACATCACTTTTCAAATGAATGTGTATGTATTGTGGATATTATAGTAAAAAACAGGTTTTTGAAAAGAATTGATGAGTAAAATCTAAATTTACATTGAAAAGAGATACAAGTAGTAGATAGATAAATATTCTGTGTGTGAAATAAAAATCAATGGAAAATGAACAGTGAGCTACCAGTTTGTACCTATGGTTAAATATAGATATAACTGTTGTTAAATTCATAAGTTTCTCTAGAAGTGCTGTATCTTAAGCCCTCTTTGAGCAGTGAATCATAAAAAAAAATTTATATAACAAATCTGGGAATTTTACCTCTAACATCATTCAAAAGAAGAAAAATATATTTAGAAATGTTATCAATTTAGTCACATATCGTGTCTCATAGATATTGAAAAACAAAAACGCATTGAATTTCCACAATAGTGATAAATTACTTGATAGACTATTGTGTATCATTTAAAATTATAAAAATTATGTAGCAACATATAAGCTATTCCTCGAGTAATAATAAATAAAGTAGAATAAAATACATTATTCTAATTATAAAATTTGAAATGATATGCACATAGGTTGTAGAGTAACATAAAAATGAATCTACTTGGTTAAAAACTAAAGTCAAGGAAGACAAAAGTGGGTCGTGCTCCTCTTCCTAAGCTGAGTACCTCATGCCATAAGTCAGCACTTGAGCAGGGGCGGGAAGCTCATGCGTTCAAAGTTAACTGTTGCTACATGGTGAGGGCCTGCATATATGTTTATATTGTAATCAGGAGTAATTTCAGCAACTGATTTATTTTGAGATGGTCTTGTTGGCCTGTCTTTAGGCTGCCCACCCTTGTGCCTCTGCCTCCTGAGGCTTCCCGGTGTGTGTTACCATGTCCGGAAGGCTGACTACAAATATTTTGTTAAAGTAATGTTCCAAGGCAGAAGACTATCGAAAATGACATCAAGCTTTGTAAATGTCGCATGTATTTATTTTGCTCTCTCTAAGACCCATGCAAGGAGGCATAATGAGATAAGGGAGTGAGCTTAATGGGACTTAGTTTGTTCTATTGAAACATTTGGGCAACGGTGGTGGCTGGGAGTGGCTTGCCACTCCACAGCATATGAGGTGGCGTATAGCGGGGCTTCTTAAACTTTTTCTTATGATCCTTTTTGTTTGAGAGTCTTTATATGTGACTGTGGGTGGACAGTGTATGAGATAGATTTGTGTTGTGGGGACTGGCACAGTTCAGTGCCAAATCTGCATGTTGAACATTTAGGACCAATTGCTGCAGGGAAGCTGCATGATGCAGCGTAAGTCAGCAATGTGGATTCATTACATTTGATTTTGCATATATTTTTGGTTGTTCCATGTTTAGAAGCTCTACTACTCAAAATTTGTTATCACCCCATATTTAGTGATGTGACCCCATGTGGGAGTCTTGACCCACAGTTGAAGAAAAGGGGCATAGAGGGAGGGTGTTAGCCAGGAGCTTATATTTGCTCATGTCTTTTACTGATTGGATTTGAGAGCCAGGCTTACTCTTGCATGACTAGAGTAAGAAAATTGAGCTACATATTTTTTTCTAACATTCTTTGAAGTCTCAATTTTTTTTCTTATTGCTTATAACGTAGAGTATTTCTAGTATCCATTCAAGAGAATTAGTTTTGGAGTGTTGAAAGAATTCTTCCTTCAAAACTTTTTATTAAGTTTGAACTGGCCTCATTCTTTTCTTCTCTCTCTCTCTCTCTTTTTTTTTTTTTTTTTTTCCTTTAAGGCAGTTTCTCTGTGTACCCTTGGCTGTCCTGAACTCTTTTTGTAGACCAGGCTGGCCTTGAACTCACAGATATCCTCCTGCCTCTGCCTACCCAAGTGTTGGGAGTAAAGGCGTGCACCACCATGCCCGGAATTGGCCTCACTCTTGATACCATATTGTAGATTTGGTTGTTGGAAGCATGAGGATAAAAACGTGCACATACCATGAAATCACATTAAGATCACAGGATTCTGTGGGAGAACACGCAGGTACGCGTTTTGTAGAGGAGAAGCTCACAGCGCTCTGCAGGTATTTACAGTGTTTATCACGCTGAAAAGACACACCTCTAACCCCCGTACTCAGGAGGCAGAGGATCGCCAGCAGTTCAAGGCCAGTCTGGTCTACAGAATGAGTTCCTGGACAGCCAGGGCTACACAGAGTGACCTCTCTCAAAAACACAAAACAAAACAAACAAAAAATGTAGTCAGAAAAGTAAACCTTAAAAAAGGTTGATAAAGCAAAATAAAAGGAGCAGTAAAAAAAAAAAATTTCCTCACTGGTTAAATTTCCTTTCCAGGCATTTATTTGGTTTTCTTAAACTAATTGTTTGGTTGAACTTTTCTAAGCCTGAAGTTTCATAAAAGGGAAATAGTGGTATAACTTTAGGATTAGTTAGCATCAAACAGCTGAGAAAAGATGTAGGTGAATAGTATTTAAAATTGAAATGTAGAATGCCTTTAAAAATGGTGGGATTTTTGGGTAGCCAAAGAAGAGGCAAATTGGTAAGGTATGTTGGAAAAGCAGATGAGCAACATAATAAAGTGTTTTTACACAAATACAGCATAAATTGAAAGCAAAACCAGTGTTCAAAGTCAGAAAGACGATAGCATGAGAGAACTACAGCAGTAAAGTGAAATGGACAATTTTATTATTAGTGGACTTATAAAATGAGTGCGTGAGGCCCACTGTGGTGGTGATGGGTGGTGGGCTATTTATTTTTTTATCCAGTCACTCTATCCCAACTCAGCTTTTTTTTTTCTAGCGTTCAAATAGAGATGCATCTCTGTGACAAGTGGCACTGTGACTTCTCAGATTTAGGTCTTGAAGCCATTTGGCTAGATAAGGAGTTGCATGATGCCAGGAATCAAACAACAATGTTGGAGAAATAGAGTAGGCTCTAAGTTTCCTAGGGAGTATTTGAACCATAAAACTATTTTGTTTATTGCTTTTAAATATTGAATGGTTAAACAGAAGCATCAACCAGTGGCCGAGAGCTTTTGAACCAAGTGCAGCGTGTGTCTGCTGAGCAGCTCCATGCTGCTCTTCTGGCAACTTGTATAGAGGAACTTTGTCCAGTTTTGTTTTCTCCCACATGTGGTGCCAAGTTGGGCCATTGGCTATAGTAATTTTTTGAGTCAAGATGAAGAAATGGAATGAGTAATCTGTAGTTTTTAAAGCTAAGTTTGACGGTAGACCCTTTCATTTCTTCTCTTCCACAGTATCAGTTGTCCATTCTGTTTGTGTGTTTCTGACAGTTTTCCTTGACAAGTATTGGGGTTATTTTTTTTTAACCATTGAAATGGGGACAAAATAATTTTAACCATCTTTATTAACCTTCCATAGCTTAATTGACTGGAATAATTCTGCCATCATTAATAAGATGTACAAGGTATACCTTGGGGATATACCACTGAAGACAAAAGAAGTAAGTTGCTTTGATTTAGTCTCACATCAGGAGAAAAAGCATTGTGTTGACATGAACTGTATTTATTTTCCCCCTACTTGGTTTGCAAGCTGAATCTATGTTTTATGAATGACTAGTTTTAAGCCATATTTGTCTATGTGAATTAAACTCTTAAAAGGTGAGTTTAATAGATTTGGTGTTTTCAATGTAGATGTATAAATAATGATGATACATTATTTAGATGAGGTATTCACAAACTTTTTCTGCTATTATTTTGGGCTCTGCAGACATTATAGCCTCTAAGGCTATAATTACTAAGTTTCTGTAACATGAAAGTAGCAATAGTATAACTGAATGGGAATGGTTATATTTCAGTAAAATTGTGGATGCCGATATTTGAACATCATACAATTTCTATATGATACAAAATATTATTCTTTTGATTTTTTTTCTGTTAAAAAATATAAAAGCAATTTTTTTAAACTAAAAAAATGATGGTCATGTGAGCTTTATGAGCTGTAGTTTACTACTTTCTGGTTTAGAATCTAGAACAAAAAGTGGTTTCTGTTGCCTTAAAGTAAGATCATTGCTTAATAAATTCTCCTCAGATGGCTCAGGGGTTAAGAGCACTGGCTGCTCTTGCAGAGGTCCTGAGTTCAATTCCCAGCAACCATGTGGTGGCTCATAACCATCTTTAATGAGATCTGGTGCCCTCTTCTGGCCTGCAGGTCTATATGCAGACAGAATACTGTATGCATAATGAATGAATGAATGAATGAATGAATGAATGAATGAATGAATGAATAAAACTTAAAAAAAATTCTCCTCACCATGTTTCAAACTATTCCAAATGCCAGTCCAAACACACAGTACGATTTGTGTGTTTGGTTGCTCTCTTTTACAATCATAAGTAGGTTAGATTAAATTGCTGCCTCAGAAAGAACAATGAATTGAGACTCTTGGATTGTGTGAGGAAGAGAAATTTGGCTAATCTACCTCTCTCTACCTCATGTTCTTTGTGTAGAAAATGAAAGGGTTGGATAGTTGAGTGTTTTGTTTTTCAGAGTATAGTCTATTGACCTCTTTGGAGTCACAAAGAACTTTTCAGGGTATCTGTAGAGGCAAGAGATTATTTGCCAGTTTTTTTTTTTTTTAAGTTGATATTTGCGTAAATGTCGTACGATTAATGGCGGGTATATATTGTGCGGGGTCATAATCACAGATCAAAGTAAAGCCATGTCACATACTTACGGAGGAAGAAGGAGAAGGAAAGAGAGGGAAAAGTAGAAGAGGGGAGAGGGAGAGGAAGAGACAAAGAAAGAGAGGAGGAAGAGTCAGAGAGAGAGAGGAGAGTGGAGGTAAGATGATTAAAGACTGTCTTGATGAAGCATTAGAAATTATTTTGCTTGAAAAATAGGTAAGTAAACTATGGTTATTGTGACTGGTATTTTGATAGACCTTTTCTCTAAAAAGAAAATGAGAACACATCCATGAAAACTGAAGTGATTTTTCTTTTTTTCCTTTCGGAATGATGAAAGTTGAACTTTCAAGGAAAAAAATAGAATTGTGGGAAATTTGAACTCATTGACTCAGTAACATAGCAATTTCTGTTAATTTCTGAATATTTCCTGAAGAGATTGCTGTTGGAAGGAAGATTTTAAAAAATGTTTATTGAAGGTATTTTATGTTGAAACATTTGTTTAACTCAGAAAGACAGTAATTTCCAGATGACCGATGGTGTTACAAAAGCATACAATCTAAGAACCCCATCCAAACTGTAAGACAGAGAGTAGAATTTTATTTAGCAGCACCTGTAGGAGCTCACCAAATTGGCCTAAACTCCAAATTACAACTAAACTTTAAGAAACCATTATTTATTAAGTTTTGATGTAGAATTAGAGATCTACAATTTTTAAAAAAGGTAAAAATCATCCCTACTTTCTGACTATGTGTCTGTTTAAACTGGGTTTTTATTCCCTCAAACAAAAGAGCTATCACAGCAATTTGAATGCAGATTATGGAAAAACCCAGCTGTATTCTAGTAAGGTAGATGCTGAAGATACTTCCAAAAAATATAAAATGACTCTTTTCCTCAGTGTAATTTTTAAAAAGTGTCTTTTAAAAGAAAAATTACTATATTTATTGATGTTTCTGATTTCTCAGTTTTATATTTAATGTAACAGTTGGTAGTAGGTGATACTGATAAAAGTAAGGACTTTTGGAATCTTCAGTAATTAAAACAGATTTTTATATTTATTTAGTTTTTTTATATGTGAGTATTTTGCCTGCATGTTTGTGTGCTTATCATGTACATGTATGCTCTTCTCAGAGCCCAGAAGGCAGCCCTGGATCCCCTGACACGGGAGTTATGGATAGTTGTGAGCCACCATTTGGGTTCTGGAAATCAAGCTCAGGTCCTCTGCAAAAGCAACAAATGTTTTTAACTACTAGGTCTTCTCTCCAACACCTAGGAATCTTCAGTAACTTTAAAGAGTTAAAAAGCCACAAATAATTTTAAAGCACTGTTATAATCAAACATATTTTTCCCAGGGAGCAGTTCTAAAGCCAGAGCTGAAAAGAGACCCAGTCAGTACCAGAGTGAAGTTAAAGATTGTTCCTCATCTCCTGCGTTCTAGACAGGCTGCTGAAACGTTCCCAGCTAACATTCAGGTAATTTGCATTGTCCAGAGGGGAAAAATGGTTTGAATAAATGGGTTTACTTACTGAAAAATGGAATTAATCATATTCAGAAAATAGGATGATGTATAGAACAAGACTTAACAATTTTGTTTCTATCTTAAGTGTAATTAGAGAAATTATTTAGTAAAAATGTATTATAAAATATATATTGGTTATGGTTTTCATTTACTTTGAGTATATGGTGGTAACTTCATTCAAAGTAGTATTTGTGATTTGCCCATGGCCATAAGAAACCAAACTACCTAAGGCAGTGGTGCGGTGTACTTTTAATTCCAGCACTTGGGAAGAAGAGGCAGGCAGATCTCTATGAGTTCGAGGCCAGCCACAACTACAGAGCCAATTCTAGGTCAGCCAGGCTACATAGTTAGACCCTGTCCTGAAAAACCAATCTTCCCGAAAACAAACAAAAACAACAACAAACCAAAACAAAACTCCAAACAAACTAGTGTTGTTGTGATTTTTTTTGAGTCTGTGTATATGTTTATCTTTTCTCCAAAAATATTACCATCATAAATAATTACATGAACGAAAACTCAGGCAGTGGGCAGTTCTCACTTTGTCTTCACAATTCTTCACCTTCTGTGCTTAAAGATGATATTAACTCACATTGTTGCTTCTTAATTTAGTGACTGCAGAAGTCTTCCTCCTTGTCTCCTGGCCTGTAGTCTTCTGAGTTGACACCAAACTATCTTTGCACTGGAAAATTATTATCCGTGTTGTTGAAGGGTACTAAATTCTTCACAGCAGATTTTATCTTTAATCAAGTCATGACTATCTTAGCCCTCAAGGAAATACTTTGGTAATCTAATTTATTTACATTATTTCTTTCATGTTTAAAATTGTGGTAAAGTGTTCTTGACATTTAATATACAATCGACTAGCTTATTTCGCTCAGTACAGTGTCATTGAGATCTATCTGCCGTAGCATGCACATGTCAGGATTTCATTCTTTTCTAAGTCTGAATGTCCCATCTATTTGGATCTTTGGCATACTTTACATTTTAGTTTTCAAGAATAATGCCGCCTTGAACATGAATGTTCCAGTATTTCTTTGAAATCTTGTTTTCAGTTTTTTAAAACAATATTTATTTATTTTATTTATATGGGTGCTTTATCTGCATGTACATCTGCATGTCAGAAAAGGGCTCAGATCTCATTATAGATGGTTATGAGCTACCATGCGGTTGCTGGGAATTGAACTCCAGACCATTGGAAGAGCAGACAGTGCTCTTAACCTCTGAGCCATCTCTTCAGCACCCTTGTTTTTAGTTTTTTAATGAATCAATTCTATTTCTAGAATTGTTGGATTACATGGTACTTTTCAGTTTGTGAAGAGCTGCCACACAAATTTTGAAGTTTTTATTGTTTGTCTGTATCCTCAATATTAGTCCCTTAATTAGACTCATGTCTTGTAATTTTTTCTACACTATCAGTTTCCATTATTTACTTTAAAATTATTCATTTTTTAGTATATATATTTTTATTTATTATGTAGTATTTCATACATTGTGTTTTGATCATATTCACTCCTCCAACTCTTCCCAGATTCACAACTTTGCTTCCCTACCCTCTTAACTTTATATTCTTTAAAAAAAAAAAAAATCCTTCAAGACCAGTTTGTGCTGCCCCAGTATTCTTGGAAGTGTAAGTGTGGTCCCCACTAGAGAGTAGGTGACCTTACCAGGAGCTGTGCTCTTAAACTGTCTCCCCTCCCCAGCAGCTGGTAATGCTCAGACCTCCACATCTAGGAGTGGCACCGTGTGCCCAACTCCCTTCTTCCTGCTGGGGTGTGCTCTTGTCTTTTAGGCCAGCACAGGGTTTATGTATGCGGTTACAACAGCGAGTTCATATGTGCAGCTGCCGTGCCATATGAAGAAGTGAGTGTTTTCTTGTAGTCATCTACCACCCACCTCTTACATCCTTTCCACTTCTTCCAAAATGATCCCTGAGCCCAGTGAGGGGGAGTGTGATATAAATGCTGCCTTTATTCTGCAGTCTCTTATCCGTCACACCTTGGCAAGTTGCGTGTCACTGATAACCACTAGCTACTGCGAAGAGCAATTTTTCAAATGAGGATCACGCTAGGCATTGTTCGGTATGTGTGAGGAGAAGTTACGAGGAGTCAGTTTAATGCTATATCCATTGAGCATGTATCTTAGGGTTTTTCTTGCTGATGAACCACCAATTTGCAGAGGAAAGGGTTACATTGGGCTTATATTTCCACATTGTAGTCCCATCCTTGAAGGAAGATAGGACAGGAACTCAAACAGGCAGGAATCTGGAGGCAGGAGCTGATACAGAGACTATAGAGGAATGCTTCTTACTGGCTTGCTGCTTATGGCTTGCTCAGTGTCCTTCCAGAAGCCAGCACCACCAGCCCAAGGGTAGCACCACCCACAGTGGGCTTGGCCTTCCCATATCAATCACTAGTTCAGAAAATCTTCTCTAGGCTGGTCAACAGTCCATAAAGAGATTTCCTCCTCTCAGATGACTGTAGTTTGTGTCAAGTTTATGTAAATATACCCAGCACAGCATAATAATAGTAGTAGTTTCTCCTCTAGAGCCCATTACTTGTCTAGCCCTGAATTTTTAGCTTGGTAATGGTGCAGCAGGGGTTGTCACCTCATGGAGGGGCCTTAAATCTAATCAGACAGCGGTTAGTTACTCCCACGTTTGTGCCGCCATTATAGTAGTGGGCAGGGCTTGCCACAGCAGTCATTGTTGTAGCTTGTAGGAGGCATAGCTAGATACGACTCATGGTTACATTAGTTTTCTAGTGGCTTATGCAGCACCTTTCTACACTATGAAGCTTTCTGGTATGGATGAAGCTTGCAGGTCTGTATAGGCTTGATTTTTGCCCTTATGACTCAGGGTTGTGATGTCTTCAGCAGTAGGGTCTTACTGTCAAGCTCTGGGGGGCTTTGCCAAGAGCAGTTGCTCTCAAGAGCAGTGACAGTAGCCTGCAAATGTTAGGTTGTATGAGGCCTCTTTTGCTAATCTAATGGAAGCAATTTCTCTATTGAGAGCCTTTCTCAGGTACGTCAAGTTTATAGCTAAGATTAGCCATTCTACTATGTGGTGGTTTGAATGAGGATGGCCCCTTTGGCTCATATATATTCAAATGCTTGCTCTATAATTGGTGGAACTGTTCTGGGAAGGATTAAGAAGTACTGTCTTGTTGGAGCAGGTATGTTAATTGAGTGGGCTCTGACATTTCAAAAGGCCATGCTTAGGCCAATCCTCTTTTTCTCTCCGCCTCCAACTTGTAGCTCTCAGCTACTGCTCTAGCACCACGCCTGTCTGTCCGCCTTCATGATCCCTGCACCTCAATGCAGTTCATCTCTAAGCAAGCCCACAATTAAATGCTTTCTCTTATAGTTTTTCCTGTCATGGTGTCTCTTGAGAGCAATAGAAAAGGGATCAAGACAAACTAGAGGCATGCTCCTAGCTTGTTTTCTCAATTCTCAATAGTAGAAGATAACCCAAACCCTGGTTTGTTCCATGTACAGTGTGCTTTGTATTGTTCAGGATGTGTTTAACATAAGGGAGTTCACAGAGCTCCTAGCAGTTTTTGCTGTACTGCAGGAGGGTTTTAAAATTACTTAAGTCAGAAATTCTTTAAAATCATCATCAGGGATTATGAAATCATCAGTTCGTTTAAACAGCACTATGTCATGAAGGTACATCTTTAAAATAAGTTGCAGAAAATCTTCCCAACAGAGTGAAGCAGTGTGGGGGTCTCTGCCATTCCAGATATATGAGGCAAGCATGGAAAGACTGTATAGCAACAATAAGAAATCTTGAGGCAAAATTTTTAGGGCTTTGCCTAAACCAGGGATACAGCCATTCATCAGCTGTACAAAAAAAAAAAAAAAATAGGGAGCTGCCTCCAGGAAGCTCACGTGTTTGCTTCTACCAATCCGGCATGCAGTTACTCCCAGCTCTGGTATTGTACTTAAGTCACACAGCTACAGGGAAGCTGTGATGTATACTTGAGGCCCATTACAGGATGTCAGTGATGTGAGCCAAAATTGGGTCTACCTTTAAACTCAGTCAGGTCTTTGATGCTGGGACGGGTATAATGGCTCCAGAGTTTCATATGTGAGCTTTGGCCTGTGTTCAGGGCTTTTAATTCCTATCATCATGGGCATGGCACTGACCTCCAAGATAGCTTAAGCTAGCTTTGGGGCTCTGGATGGAATCCTGCTTCCTGTTCTGCAGCTAGAGGTAATAGGGGTGATGAAGATAGTTTTCAATTGTAGTTCCAATGGCTCAGTCTGAAGTTACCGATTTAATAGTCCAGAGGTTCTTCCAGTTGTGGGCCTGTTACTGGATTTCAAGATGAAGGCCTAGACTTTGCCTTCTCTGAAGCAAGAAACCTTTCTAAACTCCGTATTTTTGTTTGTAGTTGGAAAAGGAGGCTGACAAGTACTTCTATCCTCCCTTTTTCATTGCTTCTCTTCCTCGGCTTGTTTTCTTCATCTTTATCTTCTTCTTCCTCTTCGCCTTCTTTCTCCTTTTGTCTTCTTCAAGTTATAATCAAATCAAACACCGTGGGCTCTTACTTCGTCACCTTAATTATTCTGAGGGTAGTTTTGTGTGTCTGTAAGGTGATTTCTAGAAGATCTTAACTCAGTGGCCATCTGCTTCCTTCATAGATTCCTTTTAGAATGTTAGTGTTTCCTTTTATTGCTGTTTGAATGTTTTTATCAAGTAAAGATGAGGAATCTTTTACATCTGTACAAATTGAAATAACTTTTTCTTCTCTGTTGACATGGATTATTATAGCAAAGATTTTGTCTGTGAAACTTATCTTCAAAAGCTAAATCTTTACATTAAAAGATATTGTTGTGCTTATATATTATATGTAGGAAGGTGCATGTACCATGTTTAGACATCAGATGGCACCTGATGTAATCTGTTACTTGCATCTTTGGACATCAGAGAGCACCTCACTAAACTGTTCCACC